TTCTTTTTGAGACAGGGTCTCCCTCTAGCCCCAGCTGTCCTAGAACTCACTATGTAGACCAGGCTGGCCTCAAACTCACAAAGATCCGACTGCCTCTGCAGTCGTGTGCCACCACGCCCGGCCTAAATTATTTTTATGTGTATGAGTGTATTTGCTGCATGTATATGAGTGCACCGTATCATGCAATGCCGCAGACGTCAGAAGAGGGCATTGGATCCCTTGGAACTAGAGTTAAGACCGGTTCATAGCCGCCATGTAGGTTGTGGAAATCTAACCAGGTCCTCTGCAAGAGCAGGTCAGTGCTCTTAACCGCTGAGCTCTCTCCAGCCCCGTGGTCTGAATTCCGTCGGTGCTTCCCGTCCAGCGACTCGGAGGCTTTGGAAGCACACTAAGAGAAGGTAGATCACTAAACTTTGCCCCCGCATAATTTTCCTTTCGGCTCACTTCACTTAGAAACGCCGATTTCTGCCGATGAGTGTTTTTAAAAGGCTTTTTTTTTTCTTTTTCCTGTTTCTGAATTCTATCAGGTGAAGCAGAATCCTGACAAAAGTTATTTTCATTCCTTTCTGCGGAGGTGATCTTGGTTAGTGGCAAGATACACTTGCTTTTCTGCCTGTTTATATTTGGTTGTTCACACAAGTGTAGACCAAGCACGAGCTGGCCGCGGGAAAGACAATCTTCTCCGATTTTCCCATCTTTGATTTAAAAACCTCCTTCCTGTGCGGGGCCTGACCCGGCGGCGCGGCCCACACGGGCTCGTTCCTGTTTGCGCCGGCTGCGGCTGCCTGCAGGGGAGAGGCAGTGGCGCAGCTTGGCTCATCCGGCGCTGCTGGAACCGGTGGAAGCGGCTCCCCGCCGGGCTAGCGCGCACCTTCCTGCGGGGCGGGCTCACTATCTGGAGCGCCCCGAGGAGGCCGCGGGCGGAGAAGCGGCTGGCAGAGAGCTCCCCAGCTGCGGACCGGAGATGGCGGTCATGGTGCAGGGCCGGCTCCGCAGGACGGAGAAGCCGAGCCTGAGATCTCGGGGAGGCGGCTGCTGGCCAGCAAGGCTCCCCGCAGACCCGCAGACCGTGGTTCCCACCTGTAGCTTTTAAGTGAAGGAATCCGTTTCAGGCCTCTGCATGGGACTGCGCTCACGTGTACGTACACACACACACACACACACACACACACACACACACACACAAAGTAAAATTTTAAAATCTTTTAAACTTTATTTTTTAAAAGCTTTTCATTATTATACATAACACAAACATCACTTATAATCAAGCTCCATCATCATTTTGTACGACTTTGTAGATTGCATTTTTCCAGTTTCCTTTTTAAAAATATTTTACTATTTTTATTTTATGTGTATGAGTGTATTGCCTGCATGTATTTTAGTGCACCCCTGTCGTGCAGTGTCTGTGGAGGTCAGAAGAGGGCATTGGATTCCCCTTAACTGGAGTTAAGGATGGTTCGTAGCCAACATGTAGGTTGCTGGGAACTCAGCCCTCATCCTCTGCAGAAGCAAGTCAGTGCTCTTAAGGTCTGAGCCAGCTCTCCAGCCCCTAGTTTCCTTTTTTAATCCAGCATTTCATTACGAAACTTTCAAAAAGAATATGCAATGCGTCACGAAGTTGCATGTCATCCTTTCCCAGCAGCTGTGCTAATAATCTCTGTATCATTCCAGTTTTAGTATATGCTGCCAAAGTGAGCACATAAAATCTTTTTAAAATATTTATTTTATTTTTATATTGGGGGGGGGATTTTTTTGAGACAGGGTCTCCCTGTAGCCCCAGCTGGCCTGGAACTCACTATGTAGACCAGGCTGGCTTTGAACTCACGGAGATCTGCCTGCCTCTGCCTCCAGAGTGCTGGGATTAAAGGTGTGTGCCACCACACCCGATTTATTATTTTTTTATGTGTATGAGTGTATTGCCTGCACGTATGTGAGTGCACCCGTGTTGTGCAGTGCCGCAGAGGTCAGAAGAGGGCTTCGGATTCCCCTGGAACTGGAGTTACGGACAGCCTGTAGCCGCCATGTGGGTGCTGGGAATCGACCCCGGGTCCTCTGCAAGAGCAGTCAGTGCTCTTTATGGCTGAGCCATCTCTCCAGTCCCATAAAATTGTTTTAAAAAAACAGAATAATTACATTTTTTTCTTCTTTAGCGGAGAAATTTTTGGGTTTTGTTTTGTTTGCTTGAGACAGATTTTCCCTGTGTAGACCAGGTTGGCCTTGAACTCACAAAGATCTGCCTGCCTCTGACCTCTGAGTGCTGGGATTAAAGATGTGTGTCACTATGCCTGGCCCCAATTTTTTTTTTTAATTTTGTGTGTATGAGTGTTATGCATGCACCCATGTCATGTAATGCCCATGGAGGACAGAAGAGGGTGCTGGATCTCCTGAACTGGAGTCACTGTTTTAACCACCATGTGGGTGCTGGGATTTGAGACCAGGTCCTCTGTAAGAGCAGTCAGTGCTCTTAACCTCTGAGCCATCTCTGCAGCCCCCTTTCTTTGTGTTTTGTTTGTTTGTTTGTTTGAGACAAGTTCTTGCTTTGTAGCTCAGGCTGACCTTGAACTCACTATGTAGCCCTAGTTGTCTTGAACTTGCAGCAGTCTTCCAGCCTTAGACTGCCAAGAGCCGGGATTACAGGCGTGAGCTATTACACCCAGTTAGTGTTGGGCAATTTTGGAATGTATTCTGGGCAGTATGGATGCTAGTATGTGGAGGATCTGTCGGCATCCTGCTCCCATTGGTTTTTTAAGACAGAGTGTCATGTAGCCCCAGCTGGCCTTGAACTTAACAGGTAGCCAAGGCTGGCCTTCAACTCCTGATCCTTCTGCCTCCACCTCCCAAGTGCTGGAATTACAGGCATAAACCTTCACTACCAGCTTGAAGTTTTCATTTTAGCTGGCACAAAACTTGGCTAAATTAAAACTAAACCCTCTGTAACTGGCAGAGGGCATCTGCTTGATTTCAGTTCAGCTTTTTCTGGAGCTGACTGCCTGCCTCTGATACCATGTTGGTCCAAAAGGCTCCACGCATTTGGAATAACAATTTTGTGGTTTCATCTAGCACAGACTGGCCTTGAACTGGCTATATAGCCAAAGATGACTTTGAACTGCCGATCCTTCTAACTGCTGGGATCAAAGAAATGCACTACCACTCCCGGTCTCAGAGCTCTGTTTTTTGTGTGTGGCTTTTATCACTTCAGTAGTCTCTGTCCTTATTTTCCTTTTGTCATCCAACCAAAGAGACAACCCAAGGGTAAGACATTTCCAACCTCTCCAGATTCTAGCTTCCAAAATTCCAGAAGCCACTGCTGTGTCTAATTACGAAAACAGCCTCTTCTGAGGAAAGTGTTCGGCTCCCATCTTTCTGGCAACCATCAGGGCATTATAAACTCTAATGGGCTCATTGCTTCTCTCATTACATCATCATCTCTGGATTCAAATGGCATGATCCGAAGACCAGGACTGAAGGCAGTTTTGGGATTTGAATATAAAGTTTGGTCTACCATAAAACCCCACAATATGCCGCCTCAGCCCACAGACCTTGGTCTAAGAGGCAGCAGGCTTCATAGGACAATCCAAATCAAGATTCTTAGTCTGCGGTGACTGCTTCCAGGCGGGGTCTTGTGGCATGGTGGGAGGGTGTGGACATGGACCTGTCCTTCAGTTCTCTCCTCAATATACGTCTGTTATGATCTTATCTCTAACCAGTTAGGATTTTCCATCTTCTTTTATGTTTCACATTGTTACCATGGAGGGCCACAAAAAATGTTTGTGTGAAACAGCCATCAGGAAGGAAATCAGCCCTCAGAAGCCCAAGGCAAAAGCATTAAAATCAGAAGTCTGGCTTGGCACAGCCAGTGTTGTAGTAACTTATAAACATTACATAATACAAGCCTTCTGCTTGACATAGGCCTCTGCCGTAGGCCTCTAGAGGTTTTTTAAAGATTTATTTTCATTCTTTTTAATTATGTATATGTCTGGTATGGGTTTTTGCGTGTGTGTGTGTTGTCTGAGGAGTCCAGAGAGCCTCAGATCCTCTGGAGCTAGAGTTACGGATGGTTGTGAGCTGCTGGATATCAGTGCTAGGAGCTGAACTCAAGTCCTCTGAAGTGTGGGTGTGGGAAGTACTCTTAACAGGTGAGCTATCTCTCCAGCCCTGGCTTCTGTTTTAACTATGCCTTTCTGGTCTTTATATTGTTACTTTGAGAGACTTAGTATTCAGTTTGATAAAACCAACCAGAACATACTCTGTAGTTTTGGTTTATGCTAAGACAGTCTCATGTAGCTCAGGTTGGCTTGGAACTTACTATGTACTTGAGGATGGCCTTAAGCTCTTGATCCTCCAGTCTCTTCTTCCTGAGTGCCGGGAATACATTCCTGCACCACCATGCCTGGCTTGCTCTTGATTTTTGAAAGTATATTTTTAGGGCTGGAGAGATGGTGCAGGGGTTAAGAGTACTAGCTGCTCTTGCAGAGAACCTAGGTTTGATTCCCAGCACCCATGGGGTGGCTAACAACCATCCATAACTCTGGTTTCAGGGGATCTGGCGCCTTGTTCTGATCTCCATGGACATTGCATGACATGGGCGCACTTACATACAAGCAGGTAATACACTCATATACATAAAACAAAAAAATTGAAATTATATTTGTATATGGGCAGTAGTTAGAGAATACTGCCTATGCAACACTTAGATTCTATAAAAAAAATAAAGCTAGATGTTAATGTGGGCTTAGATTTTCTGGAAAAGGCTTTATGTGTTTAAGTGGTGTATACTCTGAACCTTGAAGAAAGATTAAATGAGAGATTAAATAAGTACAAAGATTCCTGTTGCAGTCTAATAAAGCCTTCCTGGCAATGTGAGCCTTGTCAGCCACTGCCCAACAAGGTGGAAATAGATGGAAGGAAAAGAGAAATGGGGAATGGGAGAAGGAAGGCTTATATAGAAAGATGGGCAGAAAACCACGTGAGCCAAAAAGACATTCCTTAAAACTCACTCAGCAAACATTTATGGTGCCTCTAAGTTGTGCCAGGCACTGCTGAGAAAATAGGCTTAGGGAAGGCGAATAATTAGTTAATGGGAGGAAAGAAGTACCAAGGCACACTGCCAGTTGGACTTGCAGTGTATTCTCTGCAGAGACACCCGTCTCTTGGCAGTGGTTCTAGTTAAAATGATTGCTGTAAAGTTGGGATGAGTCTGTAGGGTTACATCAGGAAATCAGAACAACATAAAGGATTCCCTTCTGATTAATTTAGGGGCCCATGATCCTTTAAAGCAGTGTTTGCCTTTCCTCGTGGGTGACTCTGACCAATCTCTGCTATCTCTTCTTCCAATAGCTGCTTAACACTATTCCACCTAGCTTATATGGTAAGATAATAGTGGTGGCTGTTAAGAGAAATGTAGATCTCCCTCCGATTGAACCATCCAGTTCCACCTGAAACAGGGTGTCACTGTTACCCAGGCTGGTCTGAAACTCAAGAGATCCTCCTGCCTCAGCCTCTGGAGCAGCTGGAACTATAGGCATGTAGCACTGTCTGGCTCGTGCATGCATTTTTCAGTTAGCTATGTGCTTTTATAAAAGATTTTATTTAGGGCCAGGTGTGGTGGCACATGCCTTTAATCCCAGCACTTGGGAGGCAGAGGCAGGTGGATCTCTGAGTTCGAGGCCAGCCTGATCTACATAGTGAGTTCCAGGTCAGCTAGGGCTAAGACCAAAAAAACCCAAAAAATTATTTATTTTTTTTAGTTGTGGTGCGTGTGTGTGTGTGTGTGTGTGTGTGTGTGTGTGTGTGTTGTGAATGCAGTGCCAAGGGAAGCCAGAAGAGGGCATCACATGCCCCAAAGTTAAGAGTTGATTATGAGCTACCGGACATGGGGTGCTGGGAACCAAACTCAGGTCCCCTGGAAGAGCAGTATGTATGTTTACTATCTCTCCAGCCCCAGCCATGTGCTTGTTTGCTGGTCTCAGTCTGATCACCTCTCTGTGAAGTAATTCACCCTTTGATTTCTTTTGAAACAAATGCTGCATCTGCAACTGAAAATCTTTCTAAGGATCCCATGACACTTGAAATAAAATGCAAACTTTCTTTTTTTTTTTAATACTGGAAACTGAGGGCTTTGCAGATGCTAGAGAAGCACTGTACCACTGAGATGCAAATTCATCCTGTTTTTATTTTGAGAACTCAAAAGTGAGCTCACTGTGTAGCCCAGGCTATTCTCAGTTATAATCTTCCTGCCTCAGCCCCTTGAGTTGCTGGGATTATAGACCTGTACTACCATGTCCAGTTCACAAACTACTTCAGTTTAAAATGAGTTATTTTATATACATGTATGTGTGTGTATCTGTGAGTGGGTATTTGCACATGAGTGCAGGTGCCCAAAGAGTCCAGGGTACTCAGATCTCTGGAGCTGGAGTTTTAGGTGGTTGTGAGCCATACAACATGGATGCTGGGAATTAAGCTGTTGTGTTAGGGGGTTTGATTAGGAACCAGATGTCGTTTGCTAGGGGCCGTGTGTTTTGAGATAGATGTATCTCCTCCCTGGAGTGGGGAGGCAGGGTGGCGGATGGTAGGTTCCTTCTGTATGGAGGGATGACCCTGGATGCCTTCCTCCTGCTTTCATCTCCATGTGCTGAGATTACAGGTGTGCACCACCACGTGCTGGGATCACGGGTGTGCACCACCACGTGCTGGGATCACGGGTGTGCTCCACCACGTGCTGGGATCACGGGTGTGCTCCACCCCCGTGTGCTGGGATCACGGGTGTGCACCACCACGTGCTGGGATCACGGGTGTGCTCCACCGTGTGCTGGGATCACGGGTGTGCTCTACCACGTGCTGGGATCACGGGTGTGCTCCACCGTTACCTTCATTTTCTCTCTTTTTCTTTTGAAATTTTGTTTAGTGTTTTTGAGACAAGGCCTGGAATCTGTGGCAGTTCTCAAGCCTTAGCCTCTGGAGAGTTGGGATTACAAGGGAGAGTCATCATGCCAGAGTCCCATTCTCATTTACACTATCATGATTACTGCTTAGAGTCCCTTAGTGTGAGAGCAGAAAGCCAGGTCCAGTTCCCTGCTAATTTTTAAATACGAAAGGAAAGCGTAAACCACTGACCAAACTGAATGGAGACACAAGGAGAGTTTAATTTACAAACCTGGTCTTATTTCCGCAGAATGGGAATGAATATATTGCTCGCCTCAAGGACCAGCTGCAAGAGATGAAAGCAAAACCCAACTTGGAAACTCTTTATATGAAAAGAAATACCGAGTTGCAGATTGCCCAGAACCAGAAAAAATGTGAAGAAGTCTTGCTGGATGAAATTGAGGTAACTATATTAGGTTGACTGGGGATGGAGTTCAGAGACAGCATGTACCTGGCCCTGGTCCAGTCTCCAGGACCCCCGACCCCAAACTGATTAGATGATGCCATGTAAGCTGTCATTCTTGATATTGTATCTGTTAATGAAAGAGGAGGGGAGGAAGGTTAAGATCCCCCAGACCACTCCCCACCCCTTGAGGCTGGGCCCTAAAGACTAATTGGCATCTTAAATATTTGCACGTGGAGATTTTAATGATTTTAGTGGGCTGTAACCACACCTCCTGCTTCTCTGAAAATGACTTTGAGAATCAGGTCTATTTGTTCCCTTGCCCATTTGTTTTTGGGAGTAGTTAGTAGTGACCAGGTCTTGCTGTATTGCCTAAGGTGACCTTGAACTCCTGGGCTCAAGCGATCTTCCTGCCTTTTTCCAGTAGCTGGGAATACAGACATTGCCACTAAGCCTGGCTGGTCATTTTATTCTTTCCTTTTTTAAACTACCAACCATTTCTCTTGGTATTGATGGGGGGAAGACAAAACAAGGTGAGCCTCTGGGTTCTGCTGCTGGTTACTTCTTCCAACAAGTATGCTTCCCCCAAACTCATGACAGTTGAACTTTACCCAGCGCTAACATAATGGAGACGAGACACCATACAGAGAACTATCAGGAGAAAGGAAGAAGGGTAGTCCTTCATTAGAGGAGGAAGGCTAAATGCTAAAAGAACAACCGAAGCTTGGCCTTGTCATCGCCGCACTTGGGAAGCAAAGGCAAGAGGACCAGGAGTTCAAGGTCATGCTTAGCTACACAGTGAGTTTGAAGCCAGCTGGGTTACACAAGACTGCCTCAAAATCACACAAACAAACAAACACACTAGCAAGCCAGAAGAAGGGGAAGCCATCATTAGGGGGTGGGGACTAGCCAGGCAGAGAATGTCTGGTGTCTGCCTGTACTCTGTCTGCTTGTGAGGCTGACACAAGAAGCCTGTGAATTAGAGGCCAGCCTAGGGAACT